TAGAGCATACAAGGGGCAAAGTTAGGAAAACTTCTTAACCATAACCAAACACCATGAGGGACAAGTCACTGAGCTTAGGGGCTTAGGATCATAGACTGGCAGACATCTGGGTCAACTGGCATAACACAGTCCACAAAGAAATTGTTCTATATCCTGCTTTGGTGAGTAGTGACTGGGGTCTTTAAAGCTTGCAAGGAGCCAACTAAGATGCAACTATTGGTCTATCCCTGTGCAGATAAAAGAAGAGTAAAGAAAATCAAAGACTTAAGGAAGTAATTATTCCAAAGAACTAGTGGATCTCACAAACCACAGCCTCCACTAGCCTGAGACAAGAAGACCTAGATAGTGCCTGGCTACCACTACCAACCACTCTGATTGGAATCACAACAGAAGGTTCTGGACAGAGTGGGAGAAAAATGTGGGACAAAATACAAAATCATAAAAATGACCGAACTTACTGGTCTGATAGAGAGTGATGGAACCCCCAAGACTATGTCACTTACACACTCTTCAAACTTGAAAGTGAACCCACCCTGTGGTTAACCTTTCAGCCAAACAATAAATCCAAACCAAATCCACTGTCATTGAGTCAACTATGACTCACTGCAACCCTTTAGGGCAGAGTAGAATTGCCCTATAGGGTTTCCAAAGCTATAAATTTTTATAGAAGCAGACTGCCTCATCTTTCTCTCATGAAGTGGCTGGTGAGTTTGAACTGCTGACCTTTTGCTTAGTAGCCTAAAGCTTTAACCACTACCACCAGAGCTCCATAAACAATGCAAACATTACCATGGAGTTGCATCTGACTCATAGCGACCCTTCCTTGGGTTTCCAAGGCAGTATCAGTATGGAAGTAGATTGCCTAACCTTCCTTCCGAGGAGTAGCTGCTGGGTTTGAACCACGAGCCTCCTGGTTAGCAGTCAAATGCCTTAGGCACTATGCCACCAGAGCTCCTCCAGAGCTCCTTAGCCAAACAATAACAACAACAACAAAAAAAAAAACAGACAAGTCTATAAAGTGAACAATAATACCCATGAGGAACATATTTTTCAGAACAATCAACCATACAAGATCAAAATGACAGCATTTGTCCAAAAACAAAGCTCAGAAGTCAGGAAGCAACAGGAAAGAAGGACAAATGGAAGTGGGGAACTCAGGGAGGAAAAGGGAAGAGTACTGTTACACTGAAGGGACTGCAACTAATGTCACGAAACAAAATGTGTATAAATTGTTTAACAGAATACTAATTTGCTCGGCAAATTGCCACCCAAGCCACAATTAAAAAGAAAAAGAAGAAGAAAGTGTTGGTGTGGATGTGAAGTAACTGAAATCCTCATGCATTGCTGGTGAGAATGTAAAATGGTGCAGCCTTTGTGGAAAGTAATATGGCAGTGCATCAAAAAGTTAAGCATAGAATTATAATATGACCCAGCAATTCCATTCCTATGCATATACCCAAAAGAACTGAAAGGAGGCACTCAAACAAATATGTTCATTGCAGCATTATTTATAATGGCCAAAGGTAGAAACAACTTAAGTGTCCATGAATGGAGAGCATACCTATATAATGGAACATTATTCAGCCATAAAGAAGAATAAAGTTCCGATACGTGCTCTGATATGGATAAGCACTGAAAACATTATTTTGAATGAAATAAGTCTGACACAAAAGGACAAATATTGTATGATTCCAGTTACATGAAATATTTAGAATAGGCAAAAGCATGGAAACAGAAGTTTATTAGTGGTTACCAGGGGCTAAGGTGCTTAAGAAGCACTGAGTTTCTAGTTAATGTGATGAAAGATTTTTGGAAATGGGTAATGGTGACAGTTATACAGCACAGTGAATGTAGTTAATGCCACTGAATTGTACAGTTAAAAATGGTTACAATATTTAAATGTATTTTGTTATGCATATTTTACCACAATAATATTATTTAAAAAGACATCAAAGAAAAGTACAGCTAAGCAAACATCAAGGACAATGGTCAAGCTCTCTTTTTCTCTAATAAAGAGTCTATATATATATGTATATATATATATATCAGAAGGAAGGTTGGGCAATCTACTTCTGTAGTGATACTGCCTCAGGAACCCAAGGAGTCCGCTATGAGTCGGATCCGACTCGATGGTAGTGGGTACAATGTGGTACTGTGGTCTTATCAAATATATTTAAATTCAGATCCCTTATATAGCAGAGAGGATGAATAAACATAATAACTACTAATTGTTGAGCATTTACTAAATGCTAGTCACTGCTCATGTATATCATCTCATTTAATCCTTATGACACTCTTGGGTAACTTGAAGTTCAGAGAAGTTAAGCAACTTGTCCCCATGGCCACAGAACTAGATAGTGGCAGAGCTGACATTCAAACCAGAGTAAATACTAGTAAACAACATGGAAAAAGATTCAACATAATAAAGAAATGAAAGTTAAAACATGTGAGGTATCATTAGGGAGCTCTGGTAGCGTAGTGCATAAGGCACTTGACTGCTAACCAGAAGGCTGGCAGTTCAAACCCACCAGCCACTCCTCGGAAGGAAGATGAGGCAATCTACTTCCGTAACAACAACAACAAATCATATCCTTGGGAGCTCTGATAGCATAGTGGTTAAAGCACTTGACTGCTAACCAGAAGGCCAGCGGTTCAAACCCACCAGCCACTCCTCGGAAGGAAGGTTGGGCAATCCTACTTCTGCAGTGATACTGCCTCGGAAACCCAAGGAGGGGTCGCTATGAGTTGGGGCCGACTCGACAGCACATAACAACAACAACAACAACCAAATTATATAATATTTAGTGGTAATACCCAGTAGGTGGCAGAGATTCAGTGAAATTGGTTATATTACAGATGGTATTGTACATAAATACAATCCTTTTGTGAAGCAATGTGAAAATATATAAATAACAGCTACTAAAACACTTACGCCATATGATCCATTAAATTCACTACCTAGAATCTTATCCTGAGGGAAATGATTCACCATGTGGAGAAGACACTCACGGTCATCACAAGGTTATATAAATAGTAAAAGAAATACCAGAATGACCAGAAATATGGAAATGGTAAATTATTATATGCCTATTAAGGGAAACATTTTGCAACTACTCAAGATTGTAAGTATGGAGACTGTGAAGTAGTATGGGAATACATTAGTGTGTGTGTGTGTGTGTGTGTGTGTGTAAACATGAAGCAAAATTAAATTAAGTACTATATTTACAATTCTGTTAATTGGGGGTGAGGAGGAGGTGCATGAAGACCTAGTAAGAAAGATTTCAGAATATTAACAGTGGTTATATTATGATGATGAATTTATGAATATTTGTTTTTCTTTTGCTAATTTCACTAATTTTTTGGTAAAGTGATTACATTATCTTTAAAATATGAAATAACTTTTTAAAAATATAAGCTAAAATATTTTTCAAGGTATCAAACCTAGCTGACTTGGAAACAGCATAACCTCTGGCCACTGGGGGGTGAGATCAGGGCCATGTGTCTGTGATTTTAGAATGTAACCAGTCATTCTATCCTTAGTTCCCAGACCCCAATCCATAAACCTCAACAATATCACCTCAGTCATTGAATATCTTGAGCTTCTAATCTACAGGAAATGCTGGACTCTTTTTTAGCTTTCCTCTTAGCTCTGGTGACACAGTGGTAAGACATCTGGCTGCTAACCAGGTTGGTAGTTCAAACCCACCAGGTGCTCTGCAGGAAGAAGATGAGACAATCTACTTGTGTAAAGATTTACAGCCTTGGAAACCCAACAGAAGTCACTATGAGTTGGAATTGACTCCATGCCAGTGGGTTTCCTTCTTTCTTTCCTGGTCTTATCAAATAACATCTAGCACTCTGAGCACACCCAGACTAGACATTTCCATCACCTCACTGTCCTTCCTTTCTTCTCCATTTCTGAGAGCCTTTTTTAATTTTTTTTTTTTTTTTCCCAGTAACATCAGATCCCCAAAGACCCAAACAGTATGGCAAGAATGTCTGGAGGCATTTTTGAGAGAATCAGTTGTGATGTTTGTATGTTAAATCTTGGTCCTGAGCAGGTTCTGGAAACAGGACATGCTTAGACAATGACATCTGTTTTTCTGAACTGAAAAATGTACTTTTCAAAAGCAAGATTTGTTTCTGCCTGCTTCTCTCAACTTTATGTCAAAAACAAGCAAGCTTTGTAGTTTTTTGTTTTAAATATTCAAACATTTAAAATAAGAAAAGTAAATCTGGTTGGAAAATAATTCCTTTGTGAACAGTAATCTAGGTGATTCTGTAGCAATCCTTAGTTCAGTTTTAAGTTCAAAAGTTAGTCCCTTACTAAGTGAAATGATCTAAGAAATAGTGTAGAATTATTTCTGCAGAACCTTGGGGCTAACTCCCAAAATGTTGGAACCCTTAGAATGTCTTAGATTGAGGTTCATGCAGTCTCTGTGGCTTCTGCTCCTCTTTCTCCCCCTGCCTGCAAGGCTTGTCTTATCTACTTGTCCATTTTCCAAAAAAGCTGAAGTCACCCCACCTTCTTACATATAAGCCATCAGAGAGCTCCAGACCTGTATTCAAGGCAACCTGAGCCCGTCTGCAAAGTAACTTCAAGATACATATTTTATAGAAATTGTTATTAAACCTATGCTTCCAAATTGACACCTTAGAATCAATTTTAACTTCAAAGCCAAATCCCTCCCCAGAAGCATTTCATAAGTTGTTCATATCTGATGCAACAAGCACTAAGAAAGTTTTGATGAAGTTTCCCATCCATACCAGAGTATTCTACAATGAAATTAAGAACACATTCACAAATTCTGTTAGTACTACTTGAGCATATATTTTCTTTATGACTTTATTTGGAAACAGAGGTGAACCACTAACTTGAGTTACAAGTGCACCATGTGACAAGCTGGGTGAAGAAGCATCTGTAAGGGTCCTGGTTTTGTTCTTTGGGAGGGATGAAGTTCATCTAACTAACTAGTACTTAACTTTGGCTATGCATTCAGATTACTGACTCTGCAATGGAACTATTATCTGCAAAATGCCATTACCTGCACATGCTGGATATCTCAGGTTGTATCCTGCTTACTGACCAAATCCTTGAGAACCTCGAGAGAGGCTGCAGTCAACTCCGGATCCTTAAGATGCAATACTGCAGACTTATTTCCATGTAAGTATGTACCTGAATATGAAAAGCTTTGAGAACCACTTTCTGAGAAACAGAATTATGACTGTGGCATTCTTAATACATAGTGCTTTTCAGAGTTAGAAAATTTCATTTTATTTTTTGCCTAATTGAAGTCAACATTTGAGTTGAACCAAGTAAGCTCTCTTCCCAAATGATCTTTGTGGTTCCATATCCATTGCCTAGTAGCCATTCTACTTTTAAACTATGCTTCTTGTAGCATTATCTCTAGCTCTTCTACTCTTCTTTTACCACACCCAGGTAATCTCCCCTAAGAGTTAAGAAAATAATCTGATTAAACCAGTTCACAATGGTAAATTACTAATAGCTCCTTAACTTCTCCTACATTATCTGCTTGATAATTGTTAAGATAATTAGAGATTTCCTATAAAATTTAGAGCTTAGAATAAGATGTTCTGACTTGACTGCTGCAGTCAAGTTTGAAAATTCTGCACTAGGGATAACTTCTGCGATAAACTAATGCTAATCACTGTTTTTACAGGGAAGCAGCTTTCAGAATGTCAACTTTAGTTAAGTACCAAGAATACAACCCCAAGGACCCTCCATATTGGTTTGGCTACGACTGTGAAGGCAAGCCTCTTAAAGAACAACAAAAAACAACATCTAAAGATGACTTAGACTTGACATTTAATGACTCAATAAGCAGTAGTGAAGAAGAAACAGCATAGGCTTCAGCCTCAAGCAGAAAGAACAAAAAATCTAGAACTTGGCAACTATTCTCCACTTTTTACTAGCTGGACTACATATGTGCCTAAATACATCATTAGCTTTTCTATCTAAATAATCATGATTAAAAAAAAATTAACTTAATCAAACAAATAATTTTGATGAGATATTAGATCTACGGTTATGGGTCTATGAAAACAGCCCTGAGAGGTGAGACTTTTTTGACAAGGAATTTAGGAGCTTCTCTTTTAAGAATGAAAAGAAAGCAAAAAGGACTATATAATTCAAATGAGAGTTTGAGCCAGGGCAGTGACTTTATAATAAAGGCTCACAGATCCCTAAAGGATATTTATTTATTTCAAGATTTCATGTACTTCCGCAGTTCTAATTTTTCTCAAAGAACATGAGCTACTTTCATAATCTGATTTTCTTTTTAAAATTGTGATGTGGGTGAAAGTTTAGAGCAAACTGCTTTTTCATCCAACAATCTATACATGTTCTGTTTTGTGACGTTTACTGCAAACCCCACACTGCAACAGCATTCTTCCCACTTCCTCCGTACACCCATCCTTCCCTTGTTCTTCCTTCCCATCCCCTCCCACCTTCCTAGCTCTATCCCTGGGCAAATGCTATGCTCTTGATCTCATGCTTGATTGTTCTGAGTGCATACCCTCCTGATATTACTGTTTATTTTATAGGTCTGTTGTTTGGCTGCCAGTTGTCACAGGGGTTCAGTTCAGTTCCTAGATTGAAGACTGTCTAAGGGCCACAGTCTCAGGGGTTCCACCAGTCTTTATCAGACCAGTAAGCCTGGTCTTTTTTATATGATTTTGTTTTGTTCCACATTTCCCCCACTCAGTTCAAGACCTCTTACTGTGATCCCTTTCAGAGTGGTCAGAGTGGCAGCTGGACACTCTCTGGTTCTTCTGGTCTCAGGGTGGTAGAGGCTGGGATTCATATGCTCCATGTTTCCATGTGTCTTTGATTTTCTTCACTCTTCTTTGCTCCAGACAGGGAGAGACCAATAGTTGCACCTTACATGGCCACTCACAAGCTTTTAAGGTCCCAGTTGCTACTCCCCAAGTAGGATGTAGAATATTGTCTTTGTGGACTATGTTATGCCAACTGAACTTAGTGTCCCCCAGTGGTCCTGAGCCTCCATACCCAGCAACCCATTCCCTCAAGGTGTTTGGTTAAGGACATATATATTTTAAAATGAAACAGCTTTATTATTTCCAGAGTTTTGGTAACAAAAGAAAACTAAATGCCAATTAACCCCTGGACTCATCTCAACATTTGACTTAAACAGTCAGGGACAAATCAAATAGACAAGAACTGTCTATGAATAGAAAGGATGTCACTGCCACATCTCAGAAAGATCTCTTTTTAATCAAGTTTACACCTATGGAGGAATTTTTAAACTGTGTTATGCCAAAAAGATGATTTCCAAATTTCATGCTAATAGGCGTAGGTTATTTATCTCATATGTACATGTAAGTTTTTCATAAGCTTTCATATATTGATTTCTACTATTCTTATATAAGACAACAATTCTTTCCACATTCTAACAGATTTCAAATGATCACATGCCAATCTATCATTATTTGCTATTATATAACAAACACTGATGTTTGGTAGAGACCAGGAGAAAGCACAATTCTGCTCTGACTGCCATAAGCAAGCGGTGTCAGTAGTGTTGTTGTTGTTCCTCACTCACTCTTCTCTTAAAGGTGATTAACCCTCGTCTTTGTGTACCCCACAAGTTTGCAATAAGGGTAAAACTTAACATAAAGGATATGAAATAACATTACTTCAAAGGGCTCTACAAAGTATTACAGGGCACTTTGTGTCAGCTAAACGCTTTTAATAATTCTCTTCCCTCTGAGGATGATTTTGAAATAGTTTTTGAAATAAATTGTGGAATGGTTCCTGGAAGTAGATAATAGGAACAGAGGCAGAGTAGGATGTTTTAAGATCTAAGCCAAGAGATCTAAGATGACTATTGTAAGAGAGTGATTTTTAACTGGATTTGGAGACTTCTGACAGCTGCAAGTGGGCTGCAGAAATCTGGCCCCTATGTGTCTCAAGCACACAACTGTTGTTGTTGTTATTTGCCATCAAGTTGGACCCGATTCATAGTGACCCCTCCTTGGGTTTCTGAGACAGTATCACTACAGAAGTAGATTGTCCAACCTTCCTTCTGAGGAGTGGCTGGTGGGTTGAACCACCAGTCTTCTGGTTAGCAGTCAAGTGTCTTAGGCACTATGCTACCAGAGCTTCCAAGCACACAACTGGAGACCTATAAAAGCTGCTTTCGAAAGGAAGTTCAGAACACCTGCAGGGGGAAGACAAACGTGAGGAGAAACATACCCTATTATGTTCTCAAAAAACCCAGGATGTTATTTTACTGTCAGAGCTTGCACCAAAACTTTTTTAGTAAGAGCTTCTTTTAAACAGGAACAAGAGACATATTCATTCATTCTGGGGAGACAAATTTGATAGCTACAGTAGTGAAAGAAAAGGGATAGATGTTGGAAAACAGTGGGCTCCTTAAGAAGTCAAGAGGTGCAGAAATCTTCAAGTTCTCAGGGCAAAACACTCAAGGTATCCAAAATATTACTCAGGTCTTGAGCTCTTAGGAGGAGCTCTGGCAGCATAGTGCCTAAGGCATTTGACTGCTAACCAGAAGGGTGGCAGTTCAAACCCACCAGCCACTCCACGGAAGGAAGATTGGGCAATCTACTTCCATAGTGATATTGCCTCAGAAACCCAAGGAGGGGTCATTATGAGTCGGATCCGACTCGACAGCAGTGAGTTTTTTTTTTTTTTTTTTAGTTCTTAGGCATTTGATATATATGGGACTGTGTCCAAGAGAATAAAATATGGCAGCTTTTCCTTCTATTTAGGACTTGACTATGTGATCAAAATATGTATGACTCTATTAATAATGTTAAATACAATTGACTTCTGTCATGTTCATGAATGACCTTTCTGGCTGCCAGCTAAGTTCATAAACTTTATTTTCAGTAATGATCATGTTTACATAATTGCAAGAGGGGGGGAAAAACCTATGAAAATTCCTTTACTGCTTCATAGTTTCCTCTACTTAATAGTTTAACACACAAGGCATAACCAGATTGAACATACTAATGTGTGAGTACCTTCCAAACTTGAACAAATTCTGTTTTCATGAGGGGTGAACTAAAAGAGGATTTTAAGATCTACCATAAAACTTTTTGATTCATAAAACAGGAGTTAAAAACAGACAGAACTCTAAAGAAATGTGATAATAAAAAAAGAGAAACTCTTATAAATAATAACATTTGGAAAACTTTATGCTACTCACCTAAGTAGGGTGAGTAGTTTAAGATAAATCAGTGTTTAAGAACTAATTTATCCTAATCATAGAAAAATATAATCTAATAGACAGGTCTATTTAGTGTTGTACAGTTTAAATGTTCCAGGAGCAGACAAGCAGGGTTTGAAAGAAAGGTAAGCATAAAATAACTTCATAGAGTACACCATTATAAAAAGGAAAATCTATCTTCACGCATTGGGCTATAAAAGAGTGAAATGTTTCTTCTACACAACAAGGTATATCTTAAATTATATAAAAATATTAAGAATCACTACCATACATCACAGGTGCTCTGGTAGTGTAGTGCCTAAGGCAGTTGACTGCTAACCAGAAGGCTGACGGTTCAAACCCACCAGCCATTCCTTGGAAGGAAGATGGGGCAATCTACCTCCATGGTGATACTGCTTCAGAAACCCAAGGAGGGGTCGCTGTGAGTCGGGTCCGACTTGATGGCACATAACACCACCACCACCACCACCATACACCACAGTTATGGTAAGTTGTTATTCACTGCTTGAGTTTACACTGGTCATAAAAGGTACCAAGTAAAAAGCATATCACATAGGAACAGAATCCTAAGAGAACTGTCCCCATGATCTTGTGTGTATAACTTTGTATAATCTCTTGAGTATGAGTGGGAACTGTGATATGATGAGATATCACTCCTGTGATTATGTTAGATTGTATGGCAAAAGGAAGATTATCCTGGGTGGGCCTGACTTAACCAACCTAGCCTTTAAAAAGAAAAAGGCTTTTATAAAAAGCATTGTTTTCTCTAGCTGATTGGAGAAGTCAGATATTCAAAATACACCATTGCTGGCTTGAAGATGGAGTGAACTGCATAAGAAGGGATTCAGGTAGCCCCCAGAATTTTATACCTGGCCAACAATCAGTGAGAAAACAGAAACTTCAATTATATAAGTACAAAGAACTGGATCCTGGCAACAATTTGAATAAGCTTGCAAGTGG